TGGGTGTAGGACCATGTGTCATTGTTGTCAGAGAAAAACGCTGTGACGCTGTCTCTCTGTTTCAGTGTGTTCATAGCAAAAGGATCTTTGAAGGTCCCTGCTATAATGGCCCATGTTCCATTCAAGTCCGCTGCAGTCAGTCCAGCTTTGGGTCCCACCAGCTTTTCACAGACAGGAAAAGACTGGCTCAGAGACACCAGGCAGAGGAGAAGGCCAAAGGCTGCAAACATGCTGAAAGTGTCTTGTTCAAGTTAGGATTTAGTGAACAATTAATAACGATTGAGATGTGAAGCTCAGTTTTATACATGCTGCTGCTACAGTGGAGTTCCCAGAGTTGGCTAATGCACAAATAGATTTGTTTTGGAGATGCTGGCATTGTGCAATTCAATGACACTGTTGCAACAAAATGTCCTTTTGTGAGGGTTCTCCCTGCTCCTCCTACCCCTCCTTTCCCTGCTCCCTCTTCCCTTCTCTCTCCTTATTTGGTTTTTCCTGGGCGGGTCCCCAAATCATCTCACCTGCTGAGCTCCACTCCTGATCCTCGTCAGTAATCATCTCCGGCAATAAGAGACCTGCTGACCTGCTCTCCAGTGCTAGATCGTTCTGTCAACCAAGTGGTGAACTACTCAGGCTTTTGTGTTTTTGAGCATTTTGAAGGTGTCTGACTCTTACCTGTTTACTTTTGTCCGTTCCCCAGTTCAACCGTTTTGGAGCCAGCCTCATCCCGTTACCACCTGTTCCGCAAGCCTCTGGTCAGCCTCTTCACCATTGCACTTCAGCCAACCTGGACCCATCCTACCTCCCCTGGAATCAATCCCCCTGTCCACGACTATTTTGTTAATACTTTTGTTACTGCATATTTGGGTCCGACCAGTGATTCTTTAACACCTTTTAGAGTTTGTTTTTCTGTACACGTTCACCAGATCTTTTAAAAGGTGCACTCTGTAACTTTGCCACAGATATGTGTCTCCCAAGAGCCTGTTTCTGGGGAATGTCCCACAGTATTTTATTAAACCCATTTCCTTAGAGACAATCAGGTAATGCCACCAGGCCAAACTATATGTAAGATCTGTGGAGAGGTGATCACAACATGGAATGCATGTTTTTCACGGTACTTTTGAGCAATAAAAATAAATAGTAAATAAATATTAAATAGTAAATCAAATAGACTGTGGAACGTTCTAGACAAAGCAATGACCTCTCCTGGAGACTCCCACCAGAAAAGTTGCAAAATGCATCTATTGAACCTTTAAGCATTTTTACATTGAAGCCACCTCTTTGCCCAATAATAGTTTCTTTTAAAAGGATTTCAAATACTGTCACTCCATATTTATAATATACGAGTGACTTATATTGTGGTTTTGGGTAAGACATTTCCCTCACTGTGTCTTTTGTTGAATATATTTGTGGTGGATGGATCAATTACTGGGGATTTATTTTATTTTTATTTATTTATTGTTTAGGCTATTTGAATAGGGATGCAACAAACATAATATAGATTAGGTAGGTTTTGTCCTTTCGCCATGATGAAGGTTATTTTGGCTGAAACACATTGTTGCGTTTGCCATTATATTTTGCAAAAAAGCAATAAATGCATTTTAAATTTTCTAAATTGATGGAGTGTCTTGATTTTTTGTTGTCTGATTTTCTACATGCATTTCTTGAGAATTTACCTTACAGACAACACTTTTTCATAATGAATTAACACATAAACTGATGTAAGATCACAGTGTTTATATCTGAGGCTAACTCACAACAGAAAATGAATGAATGACCAATCAAAATTTGTTTTTATATATATTTATTTGTCTTGATACATCTTAACTCAAGTTCTTCTGTCTAACCCTCTTCTTTATGCATTAGGAACTTGGGTTGCTGTCTGGTCGTTTCTCTCAGGACACAGCTCTTTGGTGGGGTCCATAAAGGCCACATGGGGCATCTTGAGACACTCCACCTGCGCCTTGAACTCATCCAGCTCATCCTTGTCCACTTCTCTTCTTTTACTGAACAAATACAGCTGTCTTATTCCTTTGTCATGTCTGTCGAACAACCCAACCAAACAGTCTGGACATGTTGAGTGCAGGAAGGTGATGGTAAGGTTGTACTCCCTGTATTCAAATCTGCTGCCTCTCAGTGTGATTTCAAATTCAGCATGATGACAAGATTCATTTATGTTCATAGCCCGTGTGAAATGCATGTTCGTACTGTTGATGGTGACAAACTCAATGAAGACGCTCTCCCTCGTTTTGAAGCGTTCCAAAAATGCGGTGCTGTTCAGACCACCTGCCACCAGAGTCCATTTTCCTTCGAGATCTTGAAGTAAAATGTGTCCCAAAGGCTGGACAAGTTCTTGACAGTTGGGAGGAGTTGACTGAGTGTAATGAAGCAAGCCAAGGAAAAGGATGACAGACGTGAAAAACATCTTGAAGTTTTAAGATAAATTTGAAGATAATGAGTCAGATAGAGTTCTATTCAGAGTGAGGTGGTGGAATAGTGGGAGTTTTAAGTCGCAAATCAGGGGCCAGAGAGCAGAGTCCTGTGTATTTTGGCAGCTGGTAGCATTATGTGAACTGAACAGACCTCAAATGACCATGATCACCTGGAGGGATGCAGAGTGGGTGCAGGCAGAGCTCATTATGTTTCAATCACGTTATGTTCTCTCGCCGTTATCTTACTCAGAGTTGTACTTTAATGATTATGCATGTTTGAGTAATCCTGCATTGTTCAGTATTTGAGGCTGGAGTTCTTAGAAAATGTCTTTTTTATCTACCGCTTATTTCTGCCCATTGCTCTGTACTTAGATGTGATAATAAAAAAAAAAAAAAGAACCTGGATAATATATATATATATAGGGTTTGAAAATGTCACATAGCCCTCCTTCACCAATAAAACACATGAATGAAAAGGCATAACAACTGGTTGGTGGTGCAATTCCAGCTCCCAGACTGCTGTCGTTGTGTTCTTGAGCAAAACACTTAACCCACCTCACCCCCAGTGTCTGTGAACACTGGTGTATGAATGTGTGTGTGAGTGAGTGCACGTGATGTAAAGAAAAACAAGGTAAAAAAAAAAAAAGGGTAAGAAGTCAAGTAAAGGTATATAAATATGTGACCATTTAAATTTTTTTTTACACTAAGATGATTTATGAATACAGATATTAATTCAATCTTTCTTAATATTGTAGCTTTGTTTATCTGTGGTAAGTGACTTGGATGGATGGGAAGGAAAGTGTAATAAGAACAAAATATTACAAAACAAAGACACAGTGGGCCACATATGTCTGAATGAGGAGTCTGTTTGCTTTTGTCATTTGTCACTATTTGCAGGGAAATTACTTTGTGTGAGTTTAATCAAATGACATTTCACAACAGTGAAAATGCCAAAGACCCGAGGTCACACTGTTTCTGTGATTGGGACATTGATAACATACTCTCTTATCAACAAAATTACCTAAATTTGGTAATTTTTGGTCATGGTTTTGTTTATTTAGGATAAAATAAATAGAAATAATAAAACACAACTATTTCTTTAACCCCAGTGTCTCTAGCTAGTTATTCAGTATTATTCAAAGATATCAGAAGACAGTTCATTTCAAGAAGTCAAACTTTTCACTACATTTTCAATACGCATGCTCTAGAATTGAGTAATCAATTTCCCTTGCTTGGTTTCCAGTAACATCTAATCATTCCTTGATTTCTTAATCCCCTCAATAACTGGACTCTGCTCTCTGGAATTCCTTTCACTGTGAAACTATAACATCTGTCCAGGTATAAAAATGGCCAGCCTGTTATTGCAGCAATCAGTGGGCTTCCAGACAGTAGACCTGGTTCATCTGCTAAACTAGAGACTACAAAAATGCACAAAATGGTTGTTTATAGATTAGCGCCATTTTTGTTCAGCTTGGCCAGCCTAACTTGCTCTGCTCCTCTAACGTGTGAACAGCTAACCCAACCAGCAGAGCAACTAGATCCTGGCAATCTTGAGGGCACATGGGCCCTCGTAGCTGGCAGTATCAGCTTCCTACCTTACCTGGAGATATTCAGCAAACGAGACAGTGCATCTATCAATTTTCCTAAGAACAAAAGCCTGACACATACCTCGTACTCACGTGGATTTCGGATTGAGAACACATGCCAATTCAGCTCTTCCAATATTACTCTGAATGGGAGCAGCTTCACCTTTGATGAGTCTCCAGAAAGCACATCTAGCTCTGTTTTTGTGCAGACATCTTGCCCTGACTGTCTGATAATGCGCTTTATTATGGAATCAGGAAACAGGACCCACTTGTACCTGTTCAGTCGGAGGAGAGGCCTGGAACAGAACGAGATCCAGGAGTTCAAGGAGCAGGTGAAATGTCTTCAAATGCCACCACCAACCCTCATGGATCCCACCAAAGAGCTCTGCCCCTGGCCAGAAGAATCACGCAAGGACTGAGAAATATTATAGTGTTGACTGATAAAGATGCTTGCATAATAAAAGCTAGTGTGTTATGATAAATAGAAATACCATCAATGTTGGATCTTATAATTTTACCTTTTGTTACAATGTTAAATGCTTCTAGTAATGTGAACTGTAATAAAAGTTCTATGCGATTAAAAACTGGCCTGAAGAATCACTTAGAGATTAGGACTAAGAAATATTATAGTGTTCTAATAAAAGTTCTATGTAATAAAAATATCAATTTTTATGTCTGGGGTACTTTGTTGACTTATGCCTGCAGTAATTTGCACAGCCACAAGAGGTAGCTATACAAGCAATATTTGTGTAGTTAGTTCATACTAATGCATGGTAGAATAATCATAATAGTTGTGATGTTTCATAAGCATTAATATCGTTAAAAAATAAATATGCCAGTTTCAGACTATTAGGACTAATTGGGACCTGACTGAAATTGGGATTTAATTTAAACAGGTGGCAAACCAGGTAAACAGAGTATTCCTATAATTATATTTGAACACATTATAAAGATATGACTATGAAGATACAAAACAACTAATGACCAATGTAGCACAAATATCTGTTTAATCATTAAATTATTTAATCTCAAAACTGACAGAAACTCAGCCACTTGTGTTTCTGATCAATCTATTTACATTCACAGAGCTCAGGCTTCTGGGAGAAAATGTTTAAAAGCATATTTGGTAAAAAGAAATTCATAACAATGAGTCTTAAGTCTTTCTGGATTGCTTAAGATTTAGCTTGAAAATATATGCCCAAAATAGAGTATTTAAATCCATAAAATATTATTATTATTGTACACAAGCTTATGTATCAAGTCTTAGATTGTTAAAATGTGAATACAATAGTTTCATTGATGCATAGATTTTCATCTACAGTTCATTTATGCAGTAGATTACTCCACAGGCTTTATAAACATGCCGTGTGGGAACAGTCTTCGAGCCACTCAGTTCAGTTCCTGTAAAAAGGCACTTAAATTCCAAGTCCAAACTATTCTGTGTTTTCTTTATGCTGGAGCGAGTTCACTTCCTCAAAACTGGGTGTAGAGGAAGAAGTTTAACAGCATGTAAAAAAGGCTGATTAGATAGTTGAATTCAATTGGAACTGCATTTAAAGGAGTTTGCTCACATTACCGAGCAACACTGGCACGTTTTCCTTTTGGTCATCTTATTTTCTGCCTGATCCGCTCTGTTGGGGATTTCTGTCTGATTGCTGGTGCCTGCCTTTTCTGTGTCTGTATCATGATTTTTGACCTCTGATAGAAACGGCTCCTGTTCCCCTGGGGTCTTTTTATCCTGTGGCTCGGACAGTGGCACCTCCTGAAACTCCACTTTGATGATGGGTTTTGACCCAACTTCAATTGTTTCTTCTTTACTGAAGTCTTCATTCTCAACTTCTACCTGTGTTGTTGTAATACATGGCTGCGTCTCAGAGTAGACCGGCACTGAAGCCACTACAGCGCCCTCTTGAGTTTGGGTTTGCAGTTGCACAGCTGTTGCCTCCACTAAATCTTCCTCAACACCATTTTGTATTATTGCACTTTCGGATTGTCCTGCTTCAACAGTAGGAGTCACTCTTCCCTCAGTTTGCCCAGTTTGCTCTGTAACAGTCTTTTGGGTTTCCTCAGATATTGAAACTGCATTTTCCCAACCATTTTCTTTTGTGTCGTCTTCTGCTGTATCATCACCTTCATCTGTTATCATGATACACTCTGCTCTAATGACCAGAGTTCCCTCCTCTTCCACACCAACAATATTATTATTAAGATGAACACCTTGATCAGATTTAACGTCTTCACTTAGTCCATTAGAAGTCAGTAGCACATCCACTGAAGCACTGTGAACCATGTCCTCTTCCTCCCCTCCAGCTCCGTTTGATAGAACAGCCGCTTGGATCTCTTCACCTTTAACAAGAAAATCAGAATTTACAGCACAGCCAATACAGAAGCAGGCAGGGCTGTAATTACAACAGTATGCAGAAATGTGAGGGACATCAGCTCCATTGGCCATCACACACTCAATAAATAGATTTAATATTTCCTTGACACAGCTGATGTAACGGAGTCATTACATTCAAATGTCATCATATTGGTTATGAAGTAGAGCAACATTCATAAAGAGATGGGTGGCCTTTGTGACAATTTCTGTTTTTACTTTTACAATGATAGAGAATGAGTACAAGTTGTTGTTGATGTAAGAGATGCATTTTAAAATTCCATATTTAAAGACTTGTTGCAAAGTCCACTGAAATATTGCTTGAATAAAGAGGTGGCTTGGTAGAAAATCCTATGCCTTTATGGTGCTAATGTGCGTTAAGAATAGAATATGAAAGAGACACTATTGGGAAAAAGATCTGATTATAATTTACACTTGAGATGAGACTGCGCAGTGTTGTGAGGCTTACCTGATTCTGCTCCATTTTTCCCATTGTCCTCAACATCTTGAACAGTTCCTGTGAAAAAGACATGGTGTTTTAAGTGAGAGCAGAACCAGGGCACTGATGATAGCTGGCAATTGTAAATCCATAGAGGCTATAGAACTGAAATGTTTGGACAGATTGCAGTTTTTGAAAGACACAAATGGAAGGAAAACTGCTCACCAGGGAAATCACCAAATGGCTGAAACATAGTTTGATTTTAAAACTAGACAAAACAATTGAAAGGCTACCTGTTGCTGTTTCTTCTACCGCCACTGTCTCCTGCAGGGAACACAGATATATATATTTTTTAAGTTTTTATTTCTATGAACTGAAAGAAGACCTACTGTACTTGTGTCTGCTATATAATCATAATTTGCACATTTAAAATTGCAATATTCATCTAAATTTTGATGTCTCCATAAACGTCATCACAACAAAGACTCAATATCTCTGAAAGATAACGCTAGCAAGCAGCAGATAAAAAAAAATAAAAATTCCATCCTATGTGAATCACAGACTAAGAAAATAATATTGGAGAATGAAGTAAGTACAGAGCAACTGAAGCATGGTGGTGACACTGAAAATGGGAATTGATCGGCAATATGGCAAGCAATTAAAGACTGCTCAAACATGCTTGAAACACTCCAAATACAAGTTAAGGTGAGTAAATGGTGAGGGTAAGCAACTATAACATGGTTAGCAGCTCTAAAAAGGTTGAGTTTGCATAACAGATCTGCTTTAATGTGCAGCCTAACTCTTCCAGTGTTTTTGCAGTTTCTTCCATTAAGAATATAATTACATACCATGGTCATTTAAGACACATTTAAACCATTGATCACTTAATACTACAATACAAGTCCCTGTGAATGCTGCTATATACTAGAGTTAAGATTAAAAAAAGAATATAAAATACAAAAAGATGTAAGAACAGTCCTAGTTTGCTACATATGAAACTCCCATGTGGATACAAGCACTGAATTGTTTATGTCTGCTTACATTCACAAGGCTCCAACAATAACAAGAGGCACTACATCAAAGCTGTATTAGCAGAACATATGCATTATTCAGGAATAGACCAACATACATTTACTGTGATGGACACGGACAAGGGCATAAGAGTGCATGCATTTAAGTTTCTTACAATTTGTCCATCCTCTATCTCTTCTGTTAGCTTCTCCTCAGCCTCTGCCAACTGCTGTGTCTGCGACTCCAACCTGAGATGAAACAATAAGTGAAATCAATACAGCACTAATGAAATGCACAGAGCTTGATTCATTCACTTTTTGGCCATGTCACACAAACAGGAATGAGGGGGCTTTACTTTTCAAAGCGTTTCTCAGTCTCCTGTGCCTGTGTTCCCCACAGAGGAGAGCGCGGAGCTGCAGTGTCCAAGGAACTAGGAGACAAAGGAGGACCCTCCATCAACCACTGGTCTCTTAGAGATTTCCTCTGTTATGGAAAAAACACAGAAGCTGTCAACTGTGTGCATTGTTTAACAGTACATTTGGATATTTCTCTACTGGAATGCTAAAACAACTGGACTGTTGGCAAGTGTTGCTAGTAGCAACAAGGATCTTTGTGCTGACACAGAGCATGTAGTCGACATGATATACAATAGCAGAAAAACATTACTTAAAAACAATCCAATAACAATCCAATAATACATTCATATTTCCTATCTCTTTATCTAAGCCTGTCACCCCAATTAACTGATATCATAACAACTGATCGTAATTCAGCTTTTTCAATCCAGACACCAATGACAATAAAATGACTAAAAGGAAAAAAAGGAAAAAAAAAACAAAAGACATCAAACAAAATATGCATTATCTTCATATTATTATACAGTATTCAAGTGGCTATGTGACATTTTGACTAAACAAAATGACATTTGACATACTAAACAATGATACATGTGTGGCAACAGTTATTAAGACAGCAGTCCAACTTCCTTTTGTTTATGTCTGGAAGCTTCTAATTTGAGATTACGGTGGTGGAGATCCTTTGCTTCCTGTCAGCGTACAGTCCAATGTTTATCAAACCTGTCGAGTGCTAGCTGGAAGCTACCTACTCAACCAAAAGTGTCACAAAACCATCTTTGTATTTTCTCTCCTAAGAACAAGCCCTGCTCTGTTCCCATTTGGCTGTGAACTCTTTAAATGCTCCTTCAGGTCAGAGGTAGTTTATAATGTGTTCTTTTAAAACTCCAAGACATACTCCATGTATTACCACTTAAAACATAATGAAAATAGCTGCTATATTTATGCGCACCTTATGCTCAAACAGTTGTGACACACACCGCGCATAGTAACGTGAGGAATGTGCCTTGGGACTGTGTTATATAGTGAAGAAGGAAGTGAGAACGACTGTCTGGAAGTAGCAAGAAAACAATAGAGCAGCTCTGTATCCGAGTCTAAACATTTAGGGAGAAACTACACTGCAAAAGACTGGAATTACTGCTGCTCAAGTCAGTGGGAGAGCCAGGAAATAGAGGAGGGTTACCTATTTCAAAATGTGCTTCTTTCTTAGCACGTAACCACATGAGAGTGTCTGCAAAGGATTTTAGATCAAAGTGTTTAAAGCTGAATCTGAAGCTGACATTGTACATGGGAGAGATAATAAGTTATTCCCGGGTTTATGAGTCAGACCTTAAGTTGTTGCAGTCTTATCCGCTCATCCTCCATCTCCCGTTTAGCTCTCTCCTGCTCATCCAACAATCGCCGCTTTTCCTACAAAAAAAATTAAAATTTTGATTAATTTCCTGTTTATTACAGTTCTATGCTCAAAGACACTTTCTGTAAGCCTGTGAGTGAGTGACAGCTGAATTTAACCAATCCAAGAAGCAAATCACCACAGCCAATGGAGTGGTTGGCTGCTTTTGTGACTACAAACTGAGCTGTTCTTGGAATATTTAGATTTTTGAGCTCAGTTTTTAACATCATATGGGATTTTAACCTTCTAATAAGTGCAGCATGTGCAGGTCAAAGGACACAAGTAAAGGACTGTTGGATTGCATGTAAAAACAGTTTTTCCTGTTTCACAGGAGATTATATAAGAGGCTAGAGCGTAAGTCCAATGAGGTTCATTTGGTCTTCCGATAATTTATGTTATTAGGTTCTTTTTTCAGACCAAGAGTATGTTTTCATACCTCACATACCTTCCTCAGAGTGGTCACGTGACCACTCTGAGACCGCTAGTGAGCAGTCGAAACTGTAAGGTATGAAAACAAACTCTTGGTCTGAAAAAAGAACCTAATAACATGCAAGAGGCTAGCTAAGGAGATAACTAAGAAGCTAGCTATAGACTGCTGAGATATGACAGACTTTTTACACCAAATGTGGCAGCAAATGTGCAAGAAGACATTCCAGAGGAAATACTCTAAGACCTTCCAGAGAAAAGACTGTTCCTCTCCTCAGACTGCCCTGACACAGATCTGATGACCCTTCCTAACCAGTCCATTTGTTAAAACTGCACTGAGACCTTTGATGAGACACAAAGGAAACTGAGAAGCGCAGTATGTTTCTTCAGCTAAACTTGAATTTCCCTTGGGATCAATAAAGTATCTCTCACAGTGAAGTGTGATCATTAAAAAGAAGAAGATTGCTCTAGTTACTTCTAAGGCAATAAAGCTGTTTACATTCATTATCATAATTATAAGATTAAAACTGTGATCTGTCTCCAAGAAAATAATTTTAAATATTGCCCATCTCTAACTGTAAGAGATGTGTGTAAATTAATAAACAGAAGAAGAGACAGTATTGAATAAAACATCAGTGAAAAAGGAAAGTGGGGACACCTGGTCAACCATCTGTCAGCAGGACTCTGTCACCATAGACATCGACTCCATACACCACAGACTCAATATCCCAGAATGCTTTGAGCAGCTGTCCCCATGGCGACGCTATGCTGTTTTTGCAGGAGGCCACATTGCACACGAGTTAAATTATTTAGAGGTTGTGGCCACTGCTTAGTTTCTTTCTGCCTCCCTTGCACACAAATTCAAATGAGAGCTGGTAGTAATACGTTTATGGACTCACAGCTATGGCCTCCAGACGCTGTTTGTACTTCTCTGCCTCATCCATCTTGGCACCTGTGATGTAAGGAAAACACGAGAGGTTAGACAAATACAAGGCCAGTAGTTTCAAGTCTGCAGTCCCGTTTATCACTTTCACTTTATGGACTATCCAAGAGCACAAACTTCTAGGCTTCTACACAGTAAAATGTGTATCAAACTGCATTAGCGCATAAATCCCCACTCTCCGGCAGGATGCACATGCTGCAGATAAATCGGTGGCAGGATGTCCTATTTGTGGAGCATATAATTGGACATGAGTCTGGTATATTCGTTTGTAGATCCAGCATGAAACGTTACCCCTCTCTCACCTTCTCCTGCTTCAAACCAAACTCTCTCCTTCACACATACTACGGATTTGCTCATGTAGTCCAATGCAACTCCTTGAAATAAAACAACTTCAATATTTGGTTTTCTCAACATCTGACAATGACAATTTTGAGCTAAGGTAAAATAAAAGGCATTGATGACAAAAACGAAATCACTTATAATTAGTCCCTTCAACAGAAAAACAATCCATCTATTCCCTAATAGACATTGGACATTTTTAAACACATGGTGAGAGGAAGCCAGGAATTGTCAGCACTCTCATTTAAAAACAATAATGATCAATCTGACTGACACGATGAGAACACGGAGATCAAGTGACACCTTCTAATTTGAGTTTTCAACTTCCTCCGTCAAATTAACACTGACACAATGTGATAATCAATGAGCCTTATTTAGGCCTGGGACAGTGTGCTGTTCTAACCAATCAATCAGTGCCCTTCTAGGCACAACATTCTAAGAGTGGATGAGAAATAATTATCACACAACATTGTCATCGTACTAATTGTAACAAACCACTGTTTATGCTTCTGTGTCTCTGCAAAGCTGGCACTTTGTGTTTTTGTGAATGCAGCAGTTTCAACAACAAAGACCACCACACAAAAGGCCCATGGTCCATAGAATACCACAAAGAGGACAACAGGAGATTTGTGTTTACGTTTTAGTATCAAAAGCCAATGGCACTAGCAATTTTGGTTAATAGACAAAATAAGTCAGCTCCTTCCTGTAGCTTAGCATTGTATTGCTGCTGTCTCCTGACATCTCAGGGTTGTCATTATGTAAAACAGAAGTCTGACCAACTCCAGGGTAGGTTAGTTCATTGAAAAATGGGAAAAGGCTTTTGGCACACCTTTTAAGACATTTCACAAGGAGGTGATGAGATGGTGAGAAAATGGACACACACAAAAAAGACACACAGAAGCAATTTGGCAGCGTTCTGAATGAGGCGAGGTGCAGTGACAGCTTACAGTATAAGCCTCCATAGGGAGGAGTGGAGGCTTGTGCCTCACCAGGGCTCCAGGAGGGAGCCCAGAATAGCAGTCAGAGATAAACAAGCAAACACAAACAGAGCTTTGATGAGGAGGTATTCAGGAGCTCCCCGCAGACACGCACAGACGCTCTGATAATTAGACATGATACAGGATAAAGGACTCCTAAGGACTGAAGGCTGACAAAGTCAAAAAGTTAACTGACTCAATGAAAGAAGATGTCCCGACACGAGTCAGTTCATTGGGTCACAGAAGAATGAAAATCATCAGATAAGTATGAACAAAAGAAAACATTGTGAATATAATAGTACATAAGGTTTATTGGGTAACACCCCCCAAGCCAGTTCAGTTTTATTAATGTGAAATTTGTACTTGATTCTTTACACCTTAACTGTGATATTTCACACAACTCCCACAATCCTCTAGTGGGATTGAGAGAGCAAAGCAGCCCACTAATGTGCTCTGGGCCTGAACACAAATGCATTTGCTTTGCCTCTGTCTCTCACAGTGAAAAACAGCAGCCGCCACGCGGCAGAGAGGAGGTATTTAATTACAGAGAACTGTTCACCTGTAACACCTGGTGCCTGCCAGTGCCATGACAGAGAAGATTCAAGCTCTCTTCATCCAACTACACTCTTATGTAGATCCCAGGCTCTACTCAGTGTTATGCATTTTGCCAAGAAAAAGGTTGTAGGCTGCTACCCTCTGAGGTATGACCTCCCACTCAATATGGGCACTTAGTCACACTCCAGATTCAAGCTAAGGCCACAAAAAGGAAAAAAACAAAACAAAAAAACATACACTCACTTGGCAAATGCTTTGGACAGCTAGAGGGTTTTGTGTTTCTGCAGTACTCCAAAAATATCTGATGATCAGACTTATGTTTTGAGGCCTGACAAAAGTTGTATAACTCCATTTTGCAAATGAGTGATGTGGCGCTGTGTCATTATCTGTGCAAACACAATTCACTGTGCTGTGAAGTCTTAAAATGAAATGTCGACTAGCTTGGCTCATAAACTTTGGATGTTAATGCAAGTGAAAATGAAAAATGGGTAGTATATAACAGTTAACATATTGTGAACATATACTGGCTCCCCACATACTCACATAGTTTCAAAATAAAAAGTGTTTCACTTTTTATCATAGATCATAACATACATTTTCCTACCATGCTTATGTAACAGTGAGTATAGTGTGGATAGTGCGAGCGATTGAGTCTATGCTAGCTGAGATTAACAGTGTGGACACTAATAGAAAAAAAAAAAACATCCTAGAATCTAAATCATACAGCTCAATACCACTCACTCACCTAAACTTGTGTAGACAATGTGATAGATAATAATATAGACTCAAAGAACACACAACAAATGCTCTTGGTCAGATAAGTGGGGCAACAATGAGCTGACCAAGTCTAGCTGGGTCTATAGTTCAAATAAGAAATAATGGTGGAGTGAGGTAGAGACGTTTATTTGGCACAGATCAAAGGGCCACTGTGGACAAACGCTGGCTCGAGTCTGGAGATAACAAGCCCTAGACACACAGGAGAGACAGAGGGCAGGTCCACACAGGGCACCACACCACTGACATTTTGTTTCTGTGTGATGATGCAATTATGCAGTTAAAGCGCTGGCAACTCTGCTCTGTGCTTTCTCGTCTATTTCACGGGCAGATGGGGGTGCGAAGAATATGCTGAGAAAAAAAAGAATATTAATTACATGGGAGATCTATATAACCATGTATAGTTATTGTTTGTAATACCAACTGATAGACGTTAAATAGAAACATGTTAAATTTATACTTAAAAGAGATGTGACTAAAATGGCAAAATCCCTTTTCACACACAGTCAGAGGTGGGAGGCGTATAGAACATTTTATGATATTACAATTATTGTTAAAGAGAAGGTATTTTACTTCTACGGTGTATTAACTGCAAACACATAAGATAATTTTGGCCCCGCGTTAAGTCTCTCCCTCTTCAGAGCACTATCATAAAACAGTCACCGTGTATCCCACTAATGAAAGTACATTGCATCAAGTTTGTCATGTTATGGAGAATTGTCGTGTGGGAGCATGGATGACGTCGGCTTGTGGGTTAAGCAGCATTGCACAGAATTTTGCAGCTAACTGTAAGGAAGGTTCGAATAGGGCCCGGGTGAGGTCGCTAAAACATGCATGGATGTTATATATAGCCTCTTTAAGCATGTTTTTGATGGAGGAAATGCTGTAAGATGGTAGAAAATGTTTACATAATACCCCCTCTTTAATTAATGTTTACATGTTAACATCATGCCTATTATATTCTATACATCTGTATATAATTTCAAATGTTTTTAAAAGCCTGTCTGTGTAATCCCACATTCATCCTCGCACGCTATGTTTAAAAAAAGGCTGCAAAAAGAGCTGATGAAAAGTAAATGAAGATTGCTGTAAGCTGCAGTGTAAAATTCTCATACAGTGATACCTCTGCTCTTTTACTTTCACTTTTACGTGTCTGAACCTCATCCAAGACATTTACAGGCATGTTTTTGCACATTTCTTATTGCTACAGATCTGAGGTTTGCCAGCAGCATAACCCAGAAAATAATATTGGTGTACAATTCTTATCAATAATGGCCTTCCCGTAATCACAACCGTTAGGCGACCGGCCAAGGATAGATTTTTTTGTCAGTACTTGGCCGGTTGCCTAACGGGATGCACACAGACATGTTGATTGATTGACCTTTCTTCATGCTGCACATCACATAGCAGAGTTTGTTTCTTCTATTTCACTTGATTAACGGGAAGGACTATGGATTCACTGACACAACACTCGTATCGAATATCTGTACAAATATTGAAAATTTTGATGGGTTGGATATCGGTTCCAAGATATCAGTTCAGTTGATATCCCATTTTGGTCGATATTTTTGTAAGTTTTTCTGTGGTTACTTGAAATCATAATTAACAGTTAAGAAACGCATTCAGCCTCTGCCCCAGTATCGGTTGATATCGGGGCTCAGGAGGTACTTAAAGCCAAAGTATTGACATCGGTATCAGAACAGAAAAAGCTGGATTGATGCATCCGTAGGAAGGAAAAAGCGATAGTATAAAAAAATAAAAAATAAATTGTATGATCAAGTTGAGAAGAAACTGTGTTGACATTGAATCTCAAATTTCCAGGGCTTCCCACGAATTTTTGTAAGGTGACAAGAGTCCATGGGCAATCCTTGAAGAGCTGTTTCCGTTCATATGTTTGGGAACAGGAAGGGGACAAACATGGCTGCCCTCCAGACAATTTGAAGCAGAGAGGCCGTGATCTCTGAACTAGCACCTCCCACGCTGTCGTCACTGTGCATCTGTCAGGAAGGCCCCACTTGAGCACACTGTAAAACTAGATTCCTCGACAGAACTTCAATAGGAGGTACAGTATGGTCGCACAACAAAAGCCATTACTCAGTAGCTATACCAGAAAGAACTACCGGATCGTTGTAAAGTGCTTTTTCACCAGCTATCGATTTTTGGTTGCTTTACAGACTCTGCAGCAGAAATTGCATTATTGGAGATTGATATCCTGCTTATCCAGATGGAAATAAATCTGACACAGTGAGAGTGTGTAGTTGAGTGTGTATTTGTGTGTGTGGTATGGGTGGAATTTGTGTAGCTTGGATGGTGGTGTTTCAACAGCTCACCGCCAAGTCCCTCTGATTGACAGGCCAGGTCGAG